AAGCCTGCCCACGATGCAATTTTCGGGAGGATTGTGCAAAAAATACAGCGGAGGGGTTTAGCTGGTGAGTGAGTATGCGGTGAATGATGGTTTTTTGGGGATAATTGTATCATATATTTGTATGTTTTATTATTTATTTCCTAGGTGGACAAGGCCCATTTGAGGGTTGGTGACCGGACAGTCGGGAATCCACGTGGTCCTCAGGTCTGTCACGTGGGCCAGGCCTCAATGAGCACTGGCCCATTTGTATATTTTTGTTCCCAACATCCAATCGCGAAACCAGGCTGTTACGCACAATACATGTTACGTCGTAGTTGGTGTGTGTGATGATCACCAAAGCTCATAATAGCTAAAGATCAATAACCCACGAGCTTCTCATGGTCCCCTTTTTTTTTTTTTTTTTTTTGGGGGGGGGGGGGGGGGGGGGTTCCATTTGAGTATTTGAATCAATTTCAGAGATGGAGATGATGACTTGAGCCATAAACCTCAATCATATCCAACTTTAGTTTCAGGCCACCATAAAGTTATTTCTATATCCATTCATATATCTACCAACCAATGGTATTTATCATATTCGCGTATATTTAGTCCTTGTTGGTTATTAGCTTCATGTTCATTTCGTTAAATGATATAGATTGAGAGATAAAATGTATTCATATTCATCAATGTGGAACATGTTTATAGATTGTTAATGTTTTGTCTCTGTGTAGCGTGTACTTTAACTTTTTTTTTATCTGAAGCCTTTTGATATAGGAGAATTATTATCTCTCCCATTATGTAGGAGAAGTTTAACTTATTTATGATTTTATGTATGAAAGACATCATAACTATGAATTAAAGAGAGATTCTTCCGAAAAATATTATTAAAATTGTTATCGGTATTCTAAAATTAATTTTTAGAGCATTTAAGCCATTGGCCCCATGTAACGGTCTATAAAGAGCGCTGCTACATGGACCCAAAATATGGGACCAAGAGAGAGGACATGTGAGGTGTCCCCTCCCTATAGCATAATGACCAGCTCATTATGCAATAGGGAGGGGACACCTCACTTGTCCCCTCCCTTGATCCCATATTTTGGGACATTTCACATGTCTCCTCTCTTGATCATATATTTTAGGTTCTTGTAGCAGCTTTCTAAATACCACACAACAAATACAATCAATCAATTATATTTCATTGACCGTCTAATCCATTACAGCCACTTAATTTCCCGAGCAGCTTGAAACTTGGTGAAATGAGTGAAATAATAGAAGGCAGTACATTGATGTGAGAGATAACAATTTTCCTTTTTATTAAGAACAAATTTTTTAAACAGACCCATTTCAATTTTTAATTTTCAAAACCGACTCTTTTTTTTTTATTTATCAAAACCGACCCGATTTTATGATTAGCAGATTAATCACTTTCCTAAATAGTCGGGGTTGGCAACCCCGACTATTTAGGACGGTGTTAAACCCTAATTAGAAGCATTAAACCCTAAAAATTAATGTCCTAAATAGTCGGGGTTGCCAACCCCGACTATTTAGGAAGGTGATTAATCTGCTAATCACAAAATCGGGTCGGTTTTGGTAAAAAAAAAAAAAAAAGTCGGTTTTGAAAATAAAAAGTTGGAATGGGTCTGTTTAAAAAATTTGTTCTTTTATTAAATGAAAGCTTTCTTAGCTTCCGTATAGCTTTCAGCTCTCCACTCCAAATGCGCATATTTTTGTTTCTCATGCTTTTAGAGATCAGTTTCAGGAATCACTGCAGATATGCAGTGAAAACAGTTGAGATTCTTGACTTTTTTTTTTGTGAAGTTATCTGCAGTAAAGAGAGCTAGGGCTCTAGAGTCCACGTGAGTAGCTACAAACGCAAGCAACACAAGAAATTAATACTAGATTTGATTCTTTCTGCAAAAAGTTACTCAGCTGTATATGCAACTTGTAAAAGTAGTCAATCGGCCCCAAAAAAAAAAAAACAAAAAATTACACCCTGCTGGATTTTTTTTTTTCTTCTTTTCTAAACCTGCCGTTTTGTTTTCAAGTGTATTTGTATTTGAAGATCTCTTGTGTTATAGGGTGTTAGCTATGTATCATTTTTATTCTATTTTATTAGGGGCTGTTTGGTTCGTTTACTAAATATAGGGAAATGCATTTCTATGTATAAAAACACAAGTTTTGAGTTTTTTAAACTTTTTCAAGAAATAGATTGTTTCGCTTTGGTTCGCACAAAAAATTTGTGGGAAACCAATGTATTTATTTTTCTTGTGTTTGGTTTGCATGGAAAAAAAGGGAAAACTTTTGTTTATATGGCAAAAAGCTGACGTGGCTGCAGTTTTCGTCGATTTCACGAGGCTGAGGAAGAAATTGGGGGAGAGAAAAAAATCTAATGTGGCGGCGATTTTCACCGAGTTTCCCTTCTTCAACCCTAGCGAACCAAAGATGGGGAAAAAAACCGACGGAAAGCTTATATCCTACGTGGTCACGGAAAATTTGATGTGGAGACGGTGTAAAATTTTTCCACCGAGTTAAAAAACGAACCAAACGGCCCCTTAGTGTATACATCCTGTCGTTCTCTTGACGAAAATTCTGTAAGAATGTTATTTGCAAATGTCTAACTTTGAATTAATTATTTTAGCATGAGTTTTTTAGAACTGTGCATGTGTGCTAATAAATTAAAATGGACATAATGGGAAAAAAAATAGCAATTACCTTTTTTTTTAATTGGATTTGGTTAGGATTTGTTCACATGAATGAAAGTCGTACCTCTTTGTTTCTCTGTCAGTAGTGGTGGAGGTTGAGTTGATAGTTTTTAATCTAACGCACTTTTTTTTTTAAAAGAGCTTATTATGATCATTATCAATTATTGTCATTGTTGTTAATTTAATTTTTGATTATTTCTTCGAGGCCGGTGTGACGATGACAAACTGCAATTTGTTTTAAGGTTCAATGCTCCTGGACGCGGCTTAGAATCACAACATTTTTTTTTGCGATCCGTTCCGTTGAACTTGATCTGCACGTTCTTAAAACTAAACACATTAATTTTAGGGTGAACCCGTTGTGTTTTGACCATTCGTTGAGCCGTGCAAAAACCTAATAAAGCCTAATAAAGCTAATAAAGCCTAATAAAGCTGAACAATGTGATTTTTTTTTTCTCCAATCAAACGTTAATAAAACCTAATAAAGCTGAACAATGTGATTTTTTTTTTGGGGTAAATGCCCTTGAGACTGCAATATACGTGGCCATCTACAATGAATGAGTCGAGGGGTGCTAAGTGCAAATGATGATTATGTGAAAAGTTTCAATAGGTGGGGTTTTTTTTGGGCACCGAAAGCGTACGGAAATTGCCAGGTCAAACGGAGCTAGATCAGGCTAGCACGCGTGGCACGATCACAGCCGTTTCCGATTACGGTGTTGAGCTGGACCTATCAATCTATCATCATAATCGTAATTAACGCTAACGAAGTGGAACCTAGAAAAAAAATAATAATCCCCGGTTTTCCCCGTAATAATCACCCCACCGGCAACCTGCTACTCCCGGTCACCGCCCCCTCTCGTCGCTATATAAACAGCTCTCGTGAGAGGGGGGGTGCTCACTCACTCACTCACAACACGGTCTGGAGAGCCGAGGAAGAAGAATGCCGATCAGAAGCGTAGCGATCGGGAGCCACCGTGAGGCTTATCATCCCGGCGCCCTCAAGGCGGCGCTCGCCGAGTTCATATCTACCCTTATCTTCGTCTTCGCCGGCCAAGGCTCCGGCATGGCCTTCAGTATGTGCCGTATATATTCGTATATTATTACTTGCAATGCTTCGTTGCGTATTTAAACAATTATCGGATTAATTTGGACTTCACAGATCTCGTAGATAGATAGATTAAAGAGGGTGTTATTAAGGGTTACTCTATACTATGCCTAATTGATCTTTTATACATTTGCGGTTAGAGCTACATTTTTCTCTTCTTAAAAAGGCGAAAGAATAAAAAATTTCACTCAAGTAGCCAACTGCAAATAGGGTAAATTTCAAAACTGGGGTGCTTGTCAGATAACCCCTTATCTTTTAAACTTTCGCAGGTCTTTGTTAAGTTTTTTGGTTCTCAGAAACCCCCTTAAGCTTTCGATATTTTTCAAAAAAGACTACTTAACAACGTTGATTGTAATTTTCACATGAGCATGTAAACTCAGGTAAGGAAGATATTTTTGCAGTGTTAACTTTTGGTAGCGTGTATGCAAAGTATTTTTTTTTTTTTAAATGGAAAACTTAATTTTGTGAAATTAATTAACTCTTTTCCCTTGTATAGGCAAGCTCACTGCGGACGGCGCTAATACGGACTGGCCATGGTAGCCGCCGCCTCCACGCCTTCGCCTCTTCGGGCCGGTCTCCGTCGGCGCAACATCTCCTGGCTGTTCGCCACGGTCAACCCCGCCGTGACTTCGGCGCCTCATCGGCGGCAACAACATCCCCTCTTCCTGGGCCTCTTTACGGGTCGCCCAAGCTGCTCGGGACTCCACCGCCCGCCTTCCTCTCCTCCGCTTTGCCACCGTTGGGGCCTCCCACCGGCTCTTCGTTCGACCCTCCTCCGCGGTCTCCTCTCGAACGCCCTCGCTTAGAGATCGTCATGACCTCTCGGCCTTGTCTACACCGTCTACGCCACGCCGCTCGACCCAAGAAGGTTAGTCGGAACTATTTGCTACCCATTGCAATGAGATTAATAGTTGGGAGCCAACTTTTGGCGGGGGGGCCTTTGATGGGGCGTCTATGAACCCGGCCAGATCGTGCAGTTTTGGCCCGGCCCTCGTGAGTTGGGAGTGGGCTGGGCATTGGGTCTATTGGGTTGGGCCTTTGATTGGTGGTGGACTTGCTGGGCTTGTTTATGAGACTGTCTTTATTTGTAGGTCTCATGAGCAATTGCCCACTACTGACTATTGAGGGGCTTGGGCTTGGGCTTGATTTGATGATGCTTGGTGGGCTTCTTTGGTTATTATGTGTCGTGTGCTGTGTTCTTGTTGAACACTTTTGCAAGTTGCTTTTGGGCTTGGGTTCAATGAAAATGTAGAATGACGTGATGGTGGCTCTTGAGGTTACTTGTGCCTCTTCTTCTATTTTCTTGGTTAAAAAACAAAAACAAAAAAGAAGAAGAAGAAGAATTATAATAAAGAAAGAAAGTTTCATAAATATGTTTTGTTTTTGTCTATCTCGGAGAAAAGTTAGAAATACTTCAAATTTGAAGTACATTTCTTTAATAAAAGCGTATATAGTTTTGAGTATTTAAGGACTATATATATCGTCAGTATATACATACATATTTATTATGTCAGCATACTAGTTGCTACTTCATTTAACAAACAAAATAAGCTGTAAGGAGATAGAGATGATTCATTATTAGCCTACCTCTCGAGAGAGATAATTTAATAAAATAAACTATCATCTCATTACCTCATACCCATCCAATAAGATCTCACTATTTGCTATAAGATTTTGGGCAAGAGATTTTGGAGTGATAAATGAAAACAGGGTACAAGGATCAAACTGAACACATATACACATCAAGTAATTAAAATGATATAATACAAACTAGCTCCCTTTCTTCGGTTCTCCAATACACACACACACACACATCAGTACACCAATAACACAAATAATTAAGCAAATACAGACTCATATACATTATCTTAAAGCATGTGAACTTCATGAAGTTATGAGCAACAGCCAGTACTTGGGGGTGCATTATATACTGGCTTTGGTGTCACTATGTTCTGCCCACCAGTGGATGATCCTTCAAGTAGACTAGGAACTTCAAGAATCTGTAATGAACAGTTCGAACATCGTAGAATTAGGAAACAGATTATGAAAATAAGCGAATCATCAGAAAAAAAAATCCTGAGAAATATAGTATATTGAGCCGCGGTAACTGTGAATCTATGTTTTCAAAGTCTGTCCTCCACATTTTGCGAAATCAGTAAAAGGTTATGGTAAGCACGTATTTATCATAATGCTATAGGAGAAAGAGTTTCTATGTTCCTATGGTGTTGTACCTTTGATGCAAGTTCTTCAAAGCATTTCTCGACATTTATTCGAGTTTTCGCACTGCATTCGACAAACAAGCATCCAAGTTCATTTGCCAAGGCCATTCCCTCTTCTCTGGCCACAGCCCTTTCGGATTCCTTCACAAGAAATTGGAAATGATTATTAAAGGTTGAAAAAATTGCGTGTCACAAATTGCGCATAAATGAAATGATTAATTAATGCGATGCAATAACATGCAAGTTGTTTCCTTCCCTTTTTCAAATGGCAAAGTTTCAGAAATAGTATCTAGTCGCGTGTTTTGCATCCGTGTGCACGAACATATACGCCTATAAAAATGTCAGAATTATTTCATATTGCAGTTCTTGCAAAATTAACACGGTGGTCAAAATACCGTCAAGAACTTTTAATTATTATAAATATTTGTGAGACGTGAAGCGATAAAAACAGAGGCATGGTGAATCCTGATTTTAACACATAAAAATTGATATGTGTGCAGATAAAAGTATCTATAAAATAAATTCCCTACTGGTTCCTTCCAAAAATGTAGATATCTCAAACAAAACCGTAGTAATTATTGACGGACAAAATTTCAAAACCGACATGTTTTGAATTTTATTCCAAAAAAAGACCCGTTTCAAACTTAATTTCAAAAACCGACCCAGTTTCAACCAATTTGGTCGGTTTTTGAAATTAAGTTTGAAACGGGTTTTTTTTTGGGGAATTTTTTGGCAAACAAGTTGGTTTTTAAAATTTGTCCAATTATTAACAGAAACAGCAATAAGTAAGGAAATGGAGTTTACCTTGTCAATTTTATTTCCAATTAGAATTTTGACACAGTCCTGATTTGTGGAGTGAAGTTGTACTTCCTTTGCCCAAATATCTGATAAATTTGTGAAAGTTTCTCTTCTTGTAACATCATAAACTATATATAAGCAAAGAGTCTGGTTAATTAATATGAATAAAATATATCAACCAATTCTTTAGCTAACTACGAAGCACAAAATGTAGATGATTTCACATACCGAGCATGATTCCATGAGCACCTCTGTAATAGGAACTAGTTAATGTTCTGAATCTCTCTTGTCCAGCTGCAGAGAATAACATAAATACTTGCATCAGCAAAAAGGCAACACAGAGAATAACATACGTGACAGGCTAACTATAAACTTTATTAGCTATTTTTAAAATATTTTTGTACTCAGGTTAATATCTTTTCTTGAACTTTGACCGTAGGCTAAAGAGGTATTATCTCTTATTTTTGGGAAAGTATTGTAGAATTTTGGGTTGGAAATTAGGGTTACTTCTCCCATAGAGAGGTACCACTTTTATATTAATGCAC